GTGGACGGGGATGATCTCCCGAATTCCAGCGAGTCCTACGTCGTCGAACGGGCCAGGGCGAGCCTGGTCGTCTTCAAAGTCGTGGACGCGGTCGTCATCAAAGTCTTCAATGATCACTATCTGGTAGGCGTATTCATCAGCTCGGGCGTCTGCGCGGAGACTCGGTGCCGAGCCAGGAAGCTCAGTTTCCGTGTTCGGGACGAGGGAAGAAGAAGATATCTGAGCGGAGGGAATGGCGTCGGACCCGGATCCTGTCCCGATCACGACGTCGAGGGGAACCCGACGTAGCTTGACCCTCGCTTTGTGAATTACCTCCTTCCAAGTCGTCTCTCGGATTTCTTCTTCGTTCTGCGGTCGATCGTGGCCGGCAAAGAGCATGTAGACGGTAAGGGTGAATGTGGGTCCGATTTGCACGGCGTTATTCGGAGAGATCGAGTATTGAGTATCGCCAGCTGTGAGAAAAGTGCTGGCCTGGAGGAGTCGTGAGGGAGAAACAGACTGAGGCAGTGAGGTTGAGAGACTTGCGCCGGAGGTGGTGATGGCCAGGTTGATCAAGGGGACAGCATCCTCAATCCTCTCGAGTAGCTTTTTGATGTCCTTGACAATCAGAGCCAGCTCCGCCTCGTTAGGTATCCTCACTTGGTTGCCGAGTCTACCGGTCTTCCGAGCTGCCTGTTCTGAGGCTTGTGCCGCCTTGGCTAGTCGTTGTCCCAAGGACTGTATCTCCAGACGCAGCTCCTTGGTGAGGGCCACGGCGGATTCTAGTGACGTATTTCCTCGTGCTGCAATCAGCTCGATCATGTCAATTGCTGGTGAGACGATGCGAATTTTATGCTGGAGTCGTTGCTGCAGAGCATAAAGCTCGTCCCGGACATTGCTTTTCGGCGTGCTGTTAAGGAGTTTGGCGGACTGCCTAATCGCGTAGGACGCTGTGATGGTGACTCCCGAACGAATGGCATAGTTCATAGCCTGCTGGGTCACTTTCCCCAGGAAGACATCCATCGTCACCGAGGGAAGTATATGATCTTCCCACGGTATTTCAACTTTCTCGGAGCAAGGGACAGATGGCAGTGTCAGGCAGAAAAAGAGAGGGAAGCATAACACATAAGGGAAGTTCTTGGTGGCAAGTTCTTTCAGGCTCCTATTGCAGCAGTGACGCGTGTATCAAGCACTCATTTGCTGGTGCACGTGGTCCTCGAGGCGTAGGGGTATACTGCATGTGTGTACATACCTCAGTATCATTACAAGTCTGTCTCGCAGATTGAAACCATTGTTGTTGGCGATCTGGGTAGCGCGACACTGCAGCCTTGCCGACTCATGAAATCATCGCAGCTCAGCCTTGCCAAGGAAATTCCCGTACCCAAAAATGCCCCTCCAAATAATGGAACCAAAGCGCAGTCTCCTCCCTCAGGCTCAACCCTTGAACATCCACCTAACTTTGACTCACAGCCCTGCAATTTTGCGCCTTTTCCCTCCTACAGGAGCCCTTTTCCAAATTCCAACAGTCAAATTTTTCGGCACGTTTGAAAATGGCGGGCAATTTTGATTCCTGGGAAGACGCGGCCGCGCAAGAGGAAGACCTTTCAAAGAGGACACAGAATATGAACCTAAATGCCAACACTTTCAGGCCTGGAGCCACATCATTCCAGCCTGGTGCTGCCACATTTCAACCAGGACAGCCATTTCAACAAAATGGATATCAAAACTACGGGTATGGACAACAGCAAGGCTACAACCAATACCCTCAGTATGGCCAGCAATACAATCAATATCCTCAATATCAGCAGCAGCAGCAGCAGCCACAGCAGCCACCACAGCAGCAAGGCTACAATCAAGGCTACAATAGCGGCCAGTTCGCCGCTTATAATCAGACACCTGGAGGCTTCCAACCCCGACAAGGCGGTCCCATAAGCATTGCGAAGAGAACGGACACCCAGCCGGCATCTGCGCCAACACCACAACAGGCTCCGGCTCTAGTAACGCAGGCACAAGCGCCCCCTGCTGCCTCTGCACCAAAGCCACAACCGGCAGCTGCAGCTCCTCCTAAAGCAAAGGTCCTTTCGATTGGTGTCCCATCGTCGGCGTCTGCGACTCCTAAGAAACCTGCGTCTCCAGTTACCAAGGACGAACCAGCCCCTTCAAAAGCCGAAGCCGGATCCAAAGTTGCTGCGGCGAAAGCAGTCGAGAAGAGTGGCGAAAAAGTGAGCGGGAAGACATCTCCTGCCCCGTCGTCAGGGAAGTCCTCTCCCACACCTGCAGATGCAAAGAAGCAACGGAATGCCGACGAAGTGGCACAGTCACAAACAGCCGATGTGGATGCATCCGTGCTGGAAGAGATGTACGGAAAGGAACATGTCAACATTATTTTCATTGGCCATGTCGATGCCGGCAAATCCACGCTTGGTGGCCAGGTGCTCATCCAAACGGGTATGGTTGACGAGCGTACGCTGGAGAAGTATAAGCGAGACGCCAAAGACGCCGGGCGAGAAACTTGGTACATCTCTTGGGTATTGGATCTGAATAAAGAAGAAAGAGCCAAGGGAAAGACGGTCGAAGTCGGCCGGGGCTTCTTCGAAACCGAGAAGCGAAGATACACCATTCTAGATGCACCGGGTCACAAAACGTACGTGCCGAACATGCTTAGCGGTGCGGCTCAAGCAGACGTAGCAATCTTGGTCATCTCTGCTCGAAAGGGCGAGTTCGAGACCGGGTTTGAAAAGGGTGGACAGACACAAGAGCACGCCATGCTGATCAAAACCACCGGTGCCAAAGAGCTAGTCGTGGCCGTGAACAAGATGGACGACATTACAGTGGATTGGTCCAAAGAACGCTACGATGAAATCGTGGGCAAGCTGAAGCCGTACCTGAAAAAGAGAATCGGGTTGGATTCGACCTTCATGCCCATCTCGGCGCAAACGGGCATTAACGTCAAAGACCGCATCCCCCCTAACATTGCCACTTGGTATCAAGGCCCCTCTCTACTGGAATTTCTGGATGGCATGGCCAAGATTCAGCGAAACATCAATGCGCCCTTTATGATGCCCATTGGAGCCAAATACCGAGACATGGGAACCATGGTTGAAGGTCGTATCGAAGCCGGAGTGGTTCAAAAGACATCGAGTCTGATCATGATGCCGAACCGCGAGGAAGTTGGCATCGCAGCCCTCTATGGCGAGACGGAAGATGAAGTTGCTTTTGCTACTTGCGGTGACCAAGTGCGGATGCGCTTGCGAGGCATTGAGGAAGAAGACATCCAACCTGGCTTCGTGCTCTGCTCGCCTAAGCGTCTCGTCCACTGCGTTCGGGAATTTGAGGCACAGATCAACATTGTGGAGCTGAAATCCATTCTCTCTGCCGGCTTCAACTGTGTCATCCACGTACATGCGGCCACGGAGGAAGTCACGTTTGCGGCTTTGCTTCACAAGCTCGAACCCAAGACAGGACGCAAGAGCAAGAAACCGCCCCCATTTGCGGCAAAGGGACAGAATATCATTGCGCGATTGCAGGTGACCAGCGGTGGCGGCAAGATCTGCGTCGAGAAATTCGAAGACTACCCACAATTGGGACGATTCACACTGAGAGATCAAGGGCAGACAATTGCAGTGGGGAAGATTACCAAGTTGATTTTCGACGATGAGTAAATGAGATATACATGTGCAAGGGGGCCTATGTGGAGGTGAATCGGTCGTCCTTCTCTTTCGTGTACAGCAGGCACGCCGGGCATAGAACAAACAGAGCGGGCATGGGAGCACGAAGAGGAGACAAATGGGAATGCCACGCGATCAGAAGAAACTTGTCATGAGCGGGTCAACATGAGACATCGGACGAGACGAAACGAACAGTGCAATGACACGACGGCTAGAATTAGTTGCATCCAAAGGGGGAACAGCGATCGGGGGGGGCGGTCATCAGATGGGAGAGGCATCAAGCAAGGATACTTGGTCAGATAGATGAAGGCATTCGTGGGGACAGAGGAGGTACAGTGAGAGGTACATAGATGGGTACTACATTTTGCTCCTGGACAGCTGACCCGAGAATAAACACGACATGAGACTCGACGTCTTCGCTCCTACCTTGCTTGGTCTTGACCTCTTGTCTTTCTTTGGTTAGAGTCTGTGTCTGTGGTTATGCCCATAGCGATAGCGATACATGCGTATGTATGTCTGTACTCGGTATACCCAGCCAGCCAGAGAGGTACCTAGGTGGAGGAAGTAGTCAGAAAAAAAAAAGATCAACTTTTATACCTTTTTTCTTCTTTTCACTCTTCCTATTCTTTTGTGTGTGTGTCTCTCTCTCTCTCGTTATGATTTGTTAAAAGTACAGTACAGCGTGCTCGAAAGAAAGGTCAAGAAACGAAAAAAAAGCCCAAAGAGTTAAGACGATAGATCCCCCCCCTCCGGACGATGTCGTGCCGTTATGCCATGTGCCCATGTGCCATTTGATCCCATCCATCTAAATCAATCAAGTCGGTCAGCCGAGTTGGGCAACAGGCAATCAGGCAGTCAGGCAGTCAGGCAAACTGAGCCCCTCGATCCATAGTAAATCAAGAACCAAGAATGGGTGTGCCCTGCCCTACTGTGTGTGTGCTTGTGTTCCTTGCGAATGGTACAGATCCTCTTTTTGTTCCGCCTTCCCTTTCCCCTTGCTGCCACGGCGTCCAAAAGGAGTAAATGATGATATAGTTTAGTGCCCTCGGAACCCTTGCGAATTGTCCCTATTTTGAGTGCGAAGCCCGTTTCCACTTCTGAGATCACTTCAATCCCTTCTCCAGACCACATGAGCACAAATGTCAGGAAACTCCAGGTCATTTTGCGCCAAAGGGGCCATCAGCGACAGTATCTGAAAAAAGGGTTGCCTCGCTGAACAGTCCCAACGACTAGTTAAATTACAATTTGCAGTTGCCGGATCGCAAAGGCTACCGATCGAGGGAGAAGAGTGCAGTCAAATTGGTCGAGCTGATCCATCATGCAATGGCCACATCGACTCAGCGGGCAGCACGATCACCAGGCGTTCACATCGAAACTCGCCTGTAAATTCATACTGAGTTAGCACTGGGTTTTCCCTGACTTGGACGACGCAGGCAAAGTTTGCATGGGGAACGACAACACATACCTCATCGAAATACGTAGTCAAAACCGTCCGGTCGGCAAATTTGCGTCCGGCAAGTGCTTGCAACGCCTTCTTCGCAGATTCCGGTTCCTCATACTTGATGAAGATCTTGCCCACGCCAGCCGACTGGCGACTTCCCATCGACGGTCGCGGGATTTTCATGGCCAGGATCTTGCCGTACTTTTGGCATTCTTCCATCACGTCTTCGCAGATCTCTGTACACACGAAACGGGATGAATTAGCATTCTGACACCATAAGGACGAAGAGGGGACGGATGGATGGATAGATGGGTCATGTCCCTCCAGCTTGACGCACCTTCATAATCATCATTGTCGATAAGTTCCTCGGGTGTCACCATGTTCAACAGTTGTAGGACTCGCCCGTCCTCCAGATTTTCAGCGGTAGTACCGGCGAACATGGACATGGCGTTGACGCCCATTTCCAACCCAGCAGCCTGTGTGTATCCAATGCTGGCGCGGGTGACTTTGATAGCGTTACCCGCTAGGTCCATACCATTGAGACCCTCGATCGCCACGCCGGCGACGGATGGATCGACATATTCACAGAAAGCGATGCCCTGGTAATTCGTCAGAAGGTTGCGTGATTAAGGAGGATCTGTGCAAACTTACCCTTGATTCCTGTGCATCACTGTCCCGCACTAGAACGAACGCTTTGAGTTCTCCAAAGGCTTTCAGCAACTCAATGACTTGATCATCCGTCAAAAACGGCGGGAGATTGGTGATGGCCAGTTTATTTGCAGTGTCTGGAACCTCGGTTGATATCTCGCCATCAGTGTATGCACCCTCATCCGCAGACGGAACGATGTAGTCCTTGGGTCGTCGAATTTCCAGCCCTTTGGGAGTGGCAGTCCCGTTGCCGTTCAGCTCGGAATGATGTTCTTCCATTGTGATGCCGTCCATAGCCAACGCCACTGTGGCGTCAGAGGCCTGCTTAAACTCGACGAGCGCAAAAGTCCTGTCTTCAGCAATATTTGCTTGTATGCATGGATCATTGCCCTTTATGACGTTCAGACCATTGAGTTGAAGGTTGAAGAAGGCCACCAGGCTCTCCTCAGTGACCGATGCGGGAAGGTTGTGGACGAACAATCGCCGTGACTGGCGCGCATTAGAAGGTCTCAATGCCGTGGAGTTTGCGCCGCCCGAGGGTTGGTTCATAAAGGCTTGTAACCGCGTTGGGTCCATCTGCTGCTGTCGAGGGGCACCGGGTAGGGGAAACATGCCGGACATCTTTGCTTGCTCGGCGGTGACATTTTCGTAGCCAGGTGGTTTGATGTCCCACTGCGTCATTCTCCTCTTGCGCTCCAATATCGGGACGATATCCGTAAGGTCGGGAGTGGGCTCCCTTTTCTTTGGGGGAGGACTGTTCTTACGGCCGCGGGCTTGAGCAGCGAATTCATCTCGGTCTTCTCGTCCGGTGCGATCGCGATCACGGTTGCCTCCTCCCCTGCGATCATCAAACAGGTCGCGGTCTCTCCGGGGTGGCCTGTCATCGTCGCGGCGGCGCGGGCCTCTGTCCCTGTCCCAATCCCGGTCGTCTCGCCTCGAGCCGTGTCTGTCTTCCCTTTCGCGCGCCCGGTAGTCTCGACTCGAGGAATAAGTATCTGCTTCGTAGTCGCGCCGCGATGAGCGGTGATGGGGAGACCTTGAACGTCTCCGCTCGCCACGATCTCGATTCCGGTCCCGGTCGCGATCTCTGCGATCATCTCGTTCGTACCGTGTACCCTGAAGCAAGTCAGTGGTCGCCACCCAAAGGGGTTAGTGGGAGGCAGGATAACATACATGATGCTCCCGAGAGCGGCCCGTATCTGAAGAGGTCAGCAAGTGTCAGTGACAAAGTACACGGGGTAAAGGCACCTCTCGAGGAGTAGTTGTCCCCGTTCATTGTCGCGATTTAAAGATGGGGGGTTGTTTGTTCAGATCCACTGCGGCACGGCCAAATAGCAGAATAGTCCAGGGAATATCGAGGGCTATTGCGAGCTGGACACTGATTCAGATCATAGAATTGTCAACGAGACACTGGTGGAAGAGATTCAATCACCGCAGGCCACAACATGCAGCTACACAGGGCTTCGCTTCGCGGCTCGGACAACCTGCAACTTTTTCGATGGGGACACTGGCAGAACTGCCTTGGCGAGCTGCGGGTATGGTAGCAGGGCTTTCTTACCCGAAATGGGCATATAAGAGAGCGAAGCCAGGCTGAAACTGGAATTTTTGTAGCGCCGCTTGGGACGATGGAGCAAACGCAGCAAACATGCTGTGACAATTTTACTATGCCCAACCAGCCAACTAACTCGACACGAGTATTCGAACCTTGCTTTCATCTGGGAATCATTTATTATGTTGCGTCCAACAGTTTTCATCTTGTCAAAGGACAATCACAAATTCCGCATTACCAATTGTTATTCTACATCACTCCCTCGATGCCTGATATGGGATCTGGGGACTGGTAACCATCATACCGCAAGCGCCTCCCAAAGAATGGCTGGAAAGCCGAACACCAAGGACAGATGCATCTTGAGGAAAAGAGGTGGGTTCCAAAGCTGAAAGCATTCCCTCCAAAGAACGTCGCATGTCTGTTTGCTGCGACATCAAGGACTGCTCGAATTTGTGTTTGGTTCCTTCGAGAGGTGGAACGGCACACTCCCTCCGCTGCCATGGTATGAACAGCAAAAGCGAGAGGCCATTTGTCTCACAGTTTAAACGCCCTTTCCAATAGCTTTGCATCGGTAAGTTCGGGGGACGGTAGCTGATTCGAGATATTTTGGACCGAGTTTGCGTTGACAGGTGCGAGGTGGGTATCTCGATGGTCTTTCCCTCCCGTTTGTGAGAGTGGCTTAATACGGAGTTGTCGACGGGTTATGACCTCCCCGCCTTATCTGCTCCCTCGCAATGGCAATGTGTTCCTCCAAGGTCTTCTTGCGCGGCGCGCCGTCCTCGCCGACCTGCACCTGACCCATGCTCATGTCGACGTGGATCCCGTCCCTCTCTGCGCGCTCATCGTCCATGATGTTCATGTCCTGCTCCACGCCCTTTTTGTAGTGGCGAGGGAACCACCAACAGATGAAGATGAACATGGCGACGGATATAGCCGCCAGCACGGCGACGGGGACGACAATTGCATTGTTGACCATTTTTGGGCAGGGAAGTGATTCGAGATTGGGAAGTGGGAAGTAGGAAGTCGAGGGAATGCCCAGAAGCTGAAAGAGAGTTGGTAGGTAGTCAACAAGATGTAGCGTGTATCGTTTGTCGTGTTTCGCCTACTCGGTGCTGGATCCCAAAACCAAACCAATATTGTTTTCTGGAAACATGTAAACTTGTATACTTTTTACACTTGTAATACTGTCTGTAAGATGCTGGCCAGCTAGACACTCTGGGGTAAATTAAGAAAGGCCGGGCGGCTTTTATTAAGCAACGACAAGCTTTTTTTTCCCACCCCCAAAAGTGGTGCAGAGAGTAGATGTCATTGCAGGTCATCGACCTTTTATAGCCTCAAGCCACGCTCCCACCCTGCTTGCTGTCGTGCGAGTTGGTCATAAGAAAAAATACGAGCGAACGAGAGAGCCAGAACAAGAGATCCGGGGCACCACACACACACACACATATCCACTAGGGATGCATGAATGGGCGAAGATTGGGAAAAGAGGGGGGGCGAAAGGTTGGCCTTGAACCCAACCCTTGTGGCCCGGGGAAAGGACAAACAGTGAGAGACTAGAGACTTGGACGAGTTGCATCCTAGAATACGACGCTGGAAAGACACCCTCCACACCTCTTCAACCACGCTTCTTTCGACCCGCAATTGGAGGGCCACACCACAGCAACAACTACCTGAGAACCAGAAGGGGTAGACCATGCAAACCATGCGCAAGGAGACTTCGTCAACTAATCAACTCATTCTCGTGTTGCACTACACACCTCTTACCGCCAGTAAAGTATTGCTCCGAGTTCGAGGCCTCTCCAGTCCTTCCAAGGAGTCCCTAGTAAGTAGTAGTGGTTTAAAGGACTCCCCTGTATACTGTGAGTGAACACCACCTCCGTCATAACTTATACTTCGGACTTTGGTCTAGTCGTACGCCAGCCACCACTCCTATGTACTCGGTACCTAGGTAGGTATGCATTCCAAGATTCAAGTTCCTATGTATCGAGGTGGATTCCAGTCCAGGCATATCTATCCAGTGTTCCCTTCCCTTGCTGTGCGAGGGTACTTGTAAGTAACCCAAACAACCACCTGTGCCACTTCATCCCATCACTTCATGCGTTCATCACCTCATCAACGCATCATCCGCAAGCACCCAAAAGGGTCTTAAGAATATTATTAGCACCAGGGACATGCACACAACTTAGTCATTACCCCCATTGCTGGGTCGGACCTCTTTTCCCAGTACAAATTCCCGAGTTTCCGCGCGCGCCTCTCTGCCTCCCCGTGCCCAAAGTGTCAAACCCACCTCATCCCATTGCCACGCGACTTAACTGGATATGATATGATAGTCCGAATACGAGCAGCCACCATGGACCACGTACCAGGTGCAAGGCTCCACTCGAAACGGCGTTTGCGAGATGGGATCTAGTTCCGTGAGCTAGAGCGAGTACCTGGCGTATTTTGTAGCGGTAGATAATGACCTCTTTTCTCCCTCTGCGTTCTTGCAGCAACCAAGGATAGTCGTGTTCATCTCTCCCGCTGTTTTGGTTGAGGCAACTCAGCTCAAGGTGACCCTCATGGCGAATAATGGTTGACTAAGAGCTGCCACTGACACTGTCGCCGCCACAACCAGATTCGACTCGATAGAACAGTCGGCTCCATCAATAACTTGGAGTGATCCATGTGTTTGCCCATGCCCGCGCCTTGAGGACTCAACCGACTCGATCCACTCTGCAAGAGCCACAACAGAGGGATGTCTTTTCGAAGAAAGGTCTGGACACTGTCGCACTGCAGCAGATGAAGTGGTGTTTGACCCGTGGGTGGCGTTGTTACTCGATCACCATGTGCCGCTAGAAGTTCCCCCAGAAATTCGGCCAGTTCCACAGCCAGAGAATTCGCGTTTGGTTTCAGTCCCTCCAGAAATGTTGTGCCCACGGTCGTCCTGACATTTCAATGCCTACGCAATCACTCGTCCAAGGTACATCTTCCAACAGGCATTTGGGCCCTGGTTGGCAGCCTGATCCCCATCTGGCAAGTTGACCGTCTCGGACAGCATCGCCGCCTCGCGCTGGTATTGGCCACCGCCACTTTGCCCGGGTTGTCCTCGTTTGGCTCATTTGACGCACACTCGCTGCGAAAGGAATGTCAAATCATGCTTTCGTGTCGAGTTTGCTTCTGGATATCCCGGGGATTCTGGACGGGGACCTCGTCCACTACACGAATGAACTCGTGGTAAAAGTGTACCATCTCCATGAGGCCTTTGATGGGCATCCTCTCATCCACCGTGTGCATCCGGGTCCCTCGGGGGTCATGGCTCGCTCGCCATGGAGACATACGGTATATCTGTGACGAAAGGTCCCAGTAGTATCGAGTGTCAGTATTCCCTGCAATCCTTAGCATGTATCCACGAACATGTATACTCTCGCCTATTCAACCTACCAGTCAACAGTTCAGGCGCAACAACCACGTCATTCCCAAATACGCCTTTGATGGTACCTGCAAGTAGTCTGAATCGGGCATCCTCTGCACATGAGACCGGCGACGACTCGAGCTCGTAATGTGCTGAAAGAGTGAGGTCACCACAATCAGCAGTGTTGTTACCTGGTCGCGTCACCTTGTTGTTTTCACATTGAGCCTTTTCACCAAAAGCGTGAAGTTTGAAACCTCGTTCCTGCGCCCAAGGCGCCAGCAGATCAATGTAGTGGCCCTTCACAGCCTGGACCGAATCTTGGATTGCGATGCGATGGTTGACGAGAACGCTGGCATTTTCTGGGAGCGAGTTTACTATACAATCGGTTAGCACTGCTATTCACAGCACATGTGCTGGACTCGACGGTGTCGCCGTCCAGAAAACAGTGAGCCGCCCACCCTTGTCTCCGCCTTGAATCACGTCAACCGCTGTGGATGTTCTAATCATAGCACGCCTCTCGCGGTCGCTATCCATATATTCGAGGAGCCTTTTCGAGCTCTGTGCGCCGAGGATTGCTTCTCGCAGATCTTCGGGCATTTGCTTGGAATACAGGGCGGCTTGTCGCAGGTACGTCAAAGTCGGATTGTTTCGAACCAGCTGTGATTGAAATGGATGGTCCTCAATCAAACGAATGATCTGGGCCAAAAACCCAACTGTCTCGAAGTCAGAACGTTTCTCGCCCTCCGCAGTGAGTCAAGAGAGACAAACTAGCTGTATGGTCAGGCGGTGTAGAGGAATGGCCTCCCGGAACATTGACAGTCACAGTGACATCGATATATCCCTTTTCCGCCGTGGCAGGTAGTGCGAAGTCTGTTCCGAAACGATTCTCAATACCTGCAATGCCCTCGTCGAACTGGCACGCGAGGTCAGCAGTGGTCCAGCACGGCGCTGAATCAAACACACAATCAATTCGATACCGTCCTTGCCATATCTCTCCAAGAGTGTCTCTGCGAGACACCTAGCGCCATAACTCTGTTCGGCTCCACCCTCCTCGTCGAAGCCGACCGAGACGATCACAGTCCGGTCTGGTACGAAGTCACAAGCGAGTAAGCAGTCGATGGCTGTCAACATTGCAATGAGGTTCGATTTGTCGTCTTCGGAGCCTCGCCCCCAGATATACTCTCCATCGTAATGGCCAGAGTAAGGTGGATAGGTCCATTCTTCAGAAGTTGATTCGCCTGCGGGGACGACCTGAGCAGTGTCAAATGAATGGTAATTTTCGAGCAGTGCCATGTACAACACCCACGTCTGAATGTGCCATGAACAGGAGGGGCTTCATAGCACTGTTTGAACCAGCCCATGTAAATAAGAGGCCATGTTGATTAATTGTCTCCACTGTCAGTTCTTCATATCTGGCGCAGACAATTAGGATATGGAGCCCCGCGATCGAAACAACGTGCTCACACTCTTGGGAATGCCTCCTTCAGATAAGTCGAAAACTGGAAGAAAATCTCCCACCGAGGATCTTCTCCAACATGACCCATACCATCATAAGTCACCGTTGGAATTCTGACTGACTCCGCTAGGCGTGTTGCCACAGCATCTTGAAAACTTTGTGTATGGAAGAGTTGCTGGACATTCTTGTGAGTGATATCCTGCCGTCTCTGAGGATGCATGACAGGAGGCTGATGAAGAAATCTCTTTAGGACCATCTTGGGAGGAAACCTGATTCCGAGAAGATCAAAAGGGCAACAAAGGCCACTGGAAGTTCCTGGGTAGTATCAAGATCACAACAAGCGTCAGGCGTCGAGCTTTTATTGGAAAGGCGGGGGCTTTCTGGTGACGGTGATTAAACACAAACGAAGGAGTCGTTGCCAGGAAAGTCGCCGTCCTCTAGTCGCTGTGCGGGTTGTTGTTGCGAAGGAATAATTGGGAACTCGTTGACTGATATGTCCGCTTTGCCTCTCTGCGTCCCACCTCCCCCAAGCTCACGCAATAATAGACAAAATCTCGGACTCGGCGTCAGGATGGCAAACTGTGGAGTATCGATAACGACTGAACAAGGCCGAGTTTTGGGGGGGTAATTCGAGAACCATACCATACTAGGGAAATGTAGCACAGACAAGACCCAGCGTCGACCGACAACCTGTTTGAGAATCTGACTTTGTCCGAGCCTCGAGCCTCTCCCATCAGATGCCCAATTCAGCAGGTGACCGGCGTGGCAGCAAACATTCGCCGTAGGCAATCCACCTCGTGTAGGGCCTTGGTGGACGACATTTCTCTACCGAACGCCTGTTTGGGGTCTAGTGTCGCATATTTTCCTTCTCCTATGATTGGTGCAATATCTCAGCATCTGGACGGTATATAAATTATGTTATGGAAATAGGCGTTGACAGGAGCCGCAGAGATGGATCTCGCCCCAGATATCAAGACCTTTGCTCGGTCTAACATTGTGTTTTCGGCCTCAGACTCTCCAAAAGATGTGCCTGTTTCTTTGATTTCAGGCGAAGGTGAGGGTTCAGATATTGGAAGGATGCGCCTTGCAGGGCTCAACAGGGCTCAACAAGGCACGGACTCCGCAAGTACTTTTGAATAGGGTAACCCGGGCACCACTTGGCCGTGCGATGGATCCTCCCGCAAGCTTACAGGGCAATATCAGCCTAACGAAAGCAAAGCCCACACCCGATGCGAGGTAGTAGGGACCAAGGCGGCGTAAGAGGTGGTGGTCCAACTTGACTCGTCTATCGCTTTCGTGCACTCTGTCACACTTGCTACTCACGATCGTGGTGTCGCGACTCAGATTTGCGAAACGAGAGATACCTAGGCACCAGCCTCGATTTCCATATTGCGGTCCTGATACAGGCCAGGCCCACGGCTGACAAATAGTGTCAATTGTCGCATGCGAGGGAGACAGTACCGTACTCGTCAATCCCATGCTCGTCTCGATCGCATTATTGAACGGGTTCTGGTGCTCGAGCGGAAGCACATCTCGTCCGATACAGGAATCAGTCCGGTGCGGATAGGTTGATCACGGGTTGGCCTGGGTGGTGTCGTCCAGAGAATGTACGTTATCATACGCGCCAGATACCAGTCCCTGCGTTCTCATGACGATGTTGGAAACGACAACGTGCCGGAACATGGGCTGCTGGGGACGACCAGGGAGCTCGCTACAGTGTCGGCAGATGTAAAAGCCACGGAGAGACTCTTCAATGCGGATATGGTCCGACCGGCCGTGGGCCTAAGGTATGGTTCTCGAGTTTGCTACCAACTTTGTCAATCCTTGGAGAGCAGGTGGATGGAGTCAACTCACTAACCGAAATAAGATGAAGTTGCATCTGCGGTGTGGATATGGCTTGCGACGTACATGCCACCAAACTTGCAGAGCAACTGACGCTCTTCATAAGCACCCTTGACTTCTCGACACGTTCAAATTGTGCACCTTGACGTGTCACCCTCCAGCACCAACCTGCAGGAGTCGAAAATCACGAATTGGGTTGAGGGTCAAACCCCTGATGCATAGTTGAGTGGTCGGCAGAGCAAGACGAAAGGCAATCGAGGCCACCAGGGCCAAATCGTGTGCGTCATCGACAAAATCACAACATCATCGTCAAACAGCAACAATTTTCTTTCCACTTGCTTCGTAATGGCGCGCCAACTCGGTCCAAGTGGTTTCCTTGTTGGACCACAGATCTTGCAAAAAGCGGAGGATGCCCAGATAGTACTTGAAGCCCATATCTTGAGCGATGTCTGTGTACATTTTTGCTACAAATGCCTGGCGCTCCAGATCATCGCAGCATTCGGTGCCGGCAATGAACACAGGCCACGGGAGATTTTGCAGGCATGACGGTGTGTCTTCAAGCTGATGCAACCTTTCAAACAAAACCATTGTGGAGGCGCTGACCTCGAGCGGTTCCACCTGGCAAAGGAAAAGAACTCTGTAAGTGTAAAGAAGGGCAGCATGGTGGTATATGTCGACGATGCGCACAAAGTCCCGACGTCTGGCGTCTCGCGGCAGTTCGAGGAGACCGGCAGCCATCAAAGTCGACCCTCGGGCCTGCTCAAACCCCGCTCGTGCATCGGTAGAGGTTATTGGGAGGTCAGCAGGGTTGAAGTTTCCAGCAGACTCCTTCTCATGTCGTTCTCGTGACCATACTGTCACCTTGTGTAGGAGGGACAGGAATTCGGAAAAGATCAAATTGGAATGATCAGGCGCTGGAAGGATGACTTCTACAGTGCTCGAGGGTCCGAAAATGGTGGTGCAGGCCAAGATATCGTAGATGGAAAGCTGGTTCCGGAGAAAGTGAAACAGAGCGTTGTTCTCCCGGTTCGTTGTTGCGAGCGCGTTCACCAACGTCCGCGCAGCTTGACGGTGCGAGTCAGCTGCGGCCGCACCGGTCTCGGTCTCTGTCATTTCATAGTTAGCCAGAGTGAGCATTGAGGCCAGCATCCACACTGCAGTATCTGGGTCTATCTGGCTGCCCAGGTCAAAGCCTGCGGCCAACTGGCCGGTCACCTGCTGAATCTGTTTTGATATCAAGGTGACTGCGGCATCACGGGCACGAGCGGGAAAGCTCAATTCCTTGCCCGTGGTAACAGCCAGATGCTGGGCAGAGATGGCTAGGATGGCAAGGAGGAGCACGGGTTGCTGGTCAGCCAAGGGGAGGACCATCCGGCGGTATTCGTTCCTTTCCGAGTCTATCCACACCATCAAGCCTGCAATCTGTTTGTCATAATGCTCCAGTAGTCGCGATCTGGTGGCCGGGTCTGGAAAGCCGGGAAAAGTGGTTGCTAGAGGCTCCACGATCAGGGCAGGGCGAACACTGATGTTTTGTTCGGGGGATTTGGTGGACTTGGGAGAGGTCGAGTCCTTGGGTGCCGCGCTGCTGGGTTTAGGAGGCGGTTTGTCAACGTGTGGCGTGGTTCGCCCTTTGAGGTGTCCACGAACGGCTATACCATTGGCCCATCTCAATCGAGGGCCGTAACCAGGGCAGACTAATCCTTTCTTCGAGCACTTGATGCATTTGGGGAGTGATCTGTCGCAGCGAATTCGTCTTCTGACACAGGTTGGACAATCTTTGCAACAGTCAGCCTCCTGATGGGCAACTTCCACTTTCTCCTCCGACTCAAGGACAGAGGAGGTTGCAAGGATGCACCTTGTGGCCCGGTGGTGGGCGGGCTCGAACTTGAAGCCTGACTTGCAGCCCTCACCTCATCGCTGGGAAGGGTATTCATGGCGAGCTCTCGGCAGTGATCAGGGCTTGCGAACCACGTTGCGGCTCATTCTGGACTATCAGATGGGTTGGATGGAATCAGCAGTAGGTCTCATGGTGTCACCGGATACAATATGCTTTCGGCAAAAAGGGACCCAGACTGAATGAAGGAGGTTGAACTCGAGGTGTGTGCAACGAGCTTATCGGCTGCGGCTGAACATGTGCCTTTTGGGGGGGAAGAGTGGACAGCCGACATGCACAACACGTGACACGGGCCAACAGGTCAACGAGTCCGCAGTCAATCCAGTCGTGCCGGTCTCACAGGGCACGATTCAAAACACCCCCGCAGTTCCATTAACAAAAGTTCCATCATGAGATATTGTCTTTGATTCGGTATCGAGTACGCAGTTATTCCAATCTGGTCTAACAGCGGTCAGCGCGCGTGCACAAACACATTCACCAAAGCTCCCCATATTATGGACGGATCCCTTATGTTCTGGAGACAATAAGCATACTGGGAGGAAGTAATCTGATGATACCCACCGAGATCTGGGGAAGGGTAGCTACAGATCCGTCTTTCCGTCTTGCTTGTCTTCTAGAGAATTCTTGTTCGTTAGCACATCATGGTATTGTATCGCAGCTCACGCTTATCACCTCTGCAACTAGGAGCCACGCGGAAACCGGAAAGCGATAAAGGCTAACACTTCATCGGGATATTGACGAGAGAAATGCCCTGGCACGCCTGGTCCCCCCGGTGGTTCCCGTTCGTCTAAATTCCACCTTGATCACCGCGCCGACCTTGATTTGTCCAGCTCCTCATTGATGGGGCCGAAAGGAGCTGGCCGTTGCAAACCAACCTCTTTAGGCACCTGGGGGGCCCTTCCATCTGCACCCAGCAGAATCTGTCGAACCTCATCAAGAGCTTTCCCCATACCCCAAATCATCATGTTCATTCCACAGCAGTCCGATTCCCTCTTATCTCATGATATCCCTACACCATCGGGTGCTCGGCAGAAAGATAACAATTTTGGACAAGTTCAACCAGCTAGACTCTCTTTGGTGAACAAACCGAGACCACGGTAGAGTGAAAGGGGGAGAGACGAGTTCCCACGTGTACGCGGTTCTTTTAAACTTCAGCCATTTGACGTTCTGGATCTCTTCGACTGAAACTTATCTCTACACGAAAGAGACGGTACATTGTGCTCGACTCCATGAGTACATTCATATCCTTCCGCCTGTTTCCTCTCACTCAGCTGTCCGCTCGAGGGACCCTGACCATTGTTTTCGCTTCGAAATGGACGTGATCAAAGATGATACCGTGGGCCTGAGTAGCGATGAGAGTCAACTCCTCAGTCTGGGCCACAAGCCAGAGCTAAAGCGAACATACAATTTCTGGAGCTGTAAGCGTGACCGACAAAAAGCCAGCTGGTGATTTTCAAGGCTAATAAGTGCTGGGACAGTGATGGCATACCAGACCACCATTCTATGCTCATGGAGTTGCAATATTGTCATGTTCTACTACATATTTACGCTCGGGGGCCCGGTTTGTCTGGTCTGGGGAACGTGAGTCAGGTCTCCAAGAGTCTGTGGAGGAGCATTTCTAACGGATGCAAATCCTAGTGTCGTGGTCACGATTGGGCAACTCCTCGTCATGGCTTCACTAGCTGAATACTGCTCGATCTGGCCCACTGCAGGAGGCCAGCAGTTCTATACACAGGTATGTGTCGTACCAGTTGAGATGGACGATTGTTGGCTGACCTTATAGGTTGTCGCCCCCGAGAGCTCACGGCGCTTCCTCTCGTATCTTGTCGGCTGGTGTGTTCTGGTGGGAGAAATTTCGACAGCCAGCTCCTGCGCGTTGAACAGCGCAGAAATTGTGGCGGCTCTCGTCGAGATCATCCATCCAAACGTTGACTGGAAGGTAGGAGTTGTCAAGCTGTCCAACCACTGTTGCACCCACTAAATCATTCACAGCCTTACATGACCTGGCTTATCTATACGGGCTTTCTTGTTGCTCCTGCACTGTCGAATCTGCTCCCAAAGTATCTTCCAGCCTTGCAACTATTTGGTGCATTCTTCAACATCTCGAATGCGCTCATCTGGACAATTGTTTTCCTGGTCTTAGCCGACAAGAACAGCTCCAAATTTGTATTCACCGAGTTTCTCAACACGTCGGGCTGGACGTCAAAGGGCTGGGTCTTCATTCTGAGCATGTATGTTCCCATCTACGGCCTCTATGGCAGCGATGGTGTAATGCACTTGGTCGAGGAAATGAAGAACGCTTCGCGCGACGCTCCTGTAAGTGATTGCCCCAGCGCTTTAGCTTCGCATTACTAACCACAGCATAGCGAGTCATGGTGTGGTCCATGGTGTGGGCTGGCGTAACTGCCTGGCTCTCAGCTATCGTTATGTGCTACACAGTAGGCCCCAACTGGGAAGATTACCTTCAAGCCACCTCGTCCTACGTGGTAAGGCCCAACAAGACGCATGCCGTTGTATCAACCAGCTAACGATTCTTCAGGAATGGTTCATGGAGGTGCTGGACTCGACGTATGGAGGGGGAATCTGGGTTGCCATCATGATGATGGGCCTGAACGTATGTGATTTGCTCGAGGACGGATTGCTGGTAACGAAACAGCTGACGTTGAACAGTATTTGATCATTGTCAACATGAACACCGCCGGTTCACGTCTTGCATGGTCGATGGCTCGTGACAGAGCTTTTCCCTATTCCGACTATTTTGCCCAGGTCAACAAGCGATTCCAGATGCCCCTCCGAGCCATGATGGGTTTTATCGTTTTGAACCTCCTCACAGGTCTCCTTGTGTTGGGCAGTTCGCTAGCCTTCTACGCGATAATTTCGGGAGGCGGCGTTGCTTTGCAGGTCTCCTACTGCATCCCGATCCTTTGCGTGGTTTTGCGAGGCCGTCAACACTTGCCACCGCGACCGCATTTCGATCTCGGTCGGTGGGGTTACGCTGTCAATATCGCGGGGTTGCTATGGAGTATCATCGTGGTTCTTTTCTATGTCTTCCCCCAGTATGTCCCTGTCGTGGGTGAGATAGCGAACATGAATTGGGCAATCGTCATCCTTGCTGGGGTCGTCGTCTTCGGTGGAGTGTACTGGGTCTGGAAAGGCCGACACGAATACCTGATATTCAGCAACTCCATCCTCGACGACAACGTTGTTATTCACGGAGAGGCTGTCGTCACTGGCCGGGATGCTGCCGCCACTTTCGGACAATCTCAGCCCGAAAAGAGACTCGATCTCTAGGGAATTTGTGTATATTGGGAAAATAGTAGGGTTTGGACAAGCGTGCACATATCAATTTTGAGCGAAAGGGGGTTGTCTGGAGTTTCGGCCTCGATTTGTTCCGATGGCACGGATGATTTTTAATGGGATACAAAGTTGGATGACTGGTACTCACGAGGATCGAGGACATGGCATATTGTCGGTATAAAAAGCTCGTAAATATGGAGACTTTGAAGGGGAGAATGCCTTCTACCTAGCAGCGGCAACAGGCGTAAGCATACAAGCAGGGCCAAACATGTTTTACTGCTTAGTGCGAGTATGCCTGTGGTGCCGGGGCTAGGGATAATTTCATTCAAATGCCTCGGTGCTACGCGGGGAACGCGATCCCTTCACGATCGCGTTTTGCTTAAAGAACGGAGCCTAGTGGCTTTTGCTACCCCCCTATTGTGCCCTACGATTTAGTCGTCAAAGAGGTTTGCGCTCTACGAAACATTGGTCAGGCATGGGGGCTCACAACCACTTCTTGCTGTTAGATGATCTCTTCCCACCACCCATTCAGCCGTCAAGGTCGTCGAAATGACTCGAATCAGCGAATGGCGCAGGCTCCCCGTCTCCCTTAATGAACTGTGCCTGGCAACCACCCTTCGCTGCGGGCAGTCCTTTCGCTGGCGACAATGCGACGACCAGACCTGGGCCTGTACACTTCGTGGTCGCATTGTCCAACTTTCCCAACCCGACAAATCGCACATCCAGTATCGCTCGGTATGGCCCGCATCTGCGACCGCTACACCGTCCTTTGAGGCGCCTCTGACACCTCCCTCGTCCGTCCCACCGACCAACGTCTCAGACGAGGACTGCAACAGTGTCGCTACTGACGGGGACGACGATACGAGATGCCTGATCCAGCACTACCTCAACCTGGAGCCGAATCTCGAAACCCTTTACGCCCAATGGTCTGCGTCAGACGCCAACTTTCGCAAGAAGGCGCCCAAATTCACGGGGGTGAGGATACTGCGGCAGGATGCGTGGGAGGCCTTGGTCGGGTTCATATGCAGCAGCAACAACAATATCATACGGATATCGCAGATGGTGGACAAGCTGTGCACCCACTATGGAACCTACATTGGCACGCTGGAGGGTCGACCATACCATGACTTCCCAGCGCCAAAGGCGTTGACGGGCAAGAACGTCGAGAGCCACTTGAGGGAGCTGGGGTTCGGCTACCGTGCAAAATACATATATCAGACCGCGAAAATGATCGCCGAGGATCGAGAAGTCGGCTGGCTAGACACTCTTCGCAATCCCGAGTCTCCTGCATACGGCACCACCAAGGCGTCTCCTGCCGGCGAAATGAAACCTGAAGGTCGTGACGGCTATCGTGCCGCACATGAGAAACTCCTCGACTTACAAGGCGTGGGCCCCAAAGTGGCCGATTGTGTTTGTCTGATGGGGTTGGGTTGGGGTGAGGCGGTGCCGGTAGACACACACGTGTGGCAGATTGCGCAGAGAGACTACAAGTTGGGAAAGGGGAGGAACAGTAGTATGACCAAGGGGACATACGATGCGGTGGCGAACCATTTTCGGAAGATATGGGGCAAGGAAGCAGGGTGGGCGCATAGCGTGTTGTTCACGGCAGACTTGAGGACGTTTGCTGAGAGACTCACAACCAAGGTGGAAGTCAAAGTCGAGAAAGGGGAAGGAGAGGAAGGGGAAAAGGGAAGTGATGAGCACTCCAAGGTTGTAAGGAAAAGGACTGCACAACGAGTATCCCTTAAGCGGGGGCCTGAGCAAGACGGGTTCAAGACCGAGATGAAGGTTGAAGAAGAGGTAACGACAACCTTAAGTGAAAGGGTCAAGCGGCGACGACGTAGATAATGATGAAACTTCGACCCGTGTTCACCAGTATTATCACTAGGGCCCAGAGTATATAAATGTCGAAACACGGGTGTTGATCACGGACTACCCAATGGGGACCGTGACCAAGGATGTTTCAGTAGCACGTGTGAACGTGAGCGCGTGAGCGTGAGCGTGAGCGTGTCTCTCCTGTCCCGGTACTCGGAACCTCTTGTGTAGATGTACGAGGATGTACACACTACCGTATTTGTGCTGGGAGAAAGCACCAGCGCAAGATGACCCGGCGCTCGGAATACTCATCCAAGTCCGACGGCTTCGAAGCATGGGGTTCCCTGGCTGATGACGACTTGTGTTCCAACAACCGAAGTGTACAGTCCCTGATTTTTGCTACACTGTGGTTCTTCTCGCACATTGTCCGTTTCGATCGTTTGATGCTATCGATTGCTCGCACACGAGAGGAGATGGAAACGTTGCTCAATGTCACTCTGTACGGAGGACGGAAGCAAGCTGAAGCACAGGTCAAATCAAATCGTGGCTTATGAGGAGATCCAGGGTCCCTCTCTCTCTCCCCTCTGTGACCAGCTCCTTCAGGGAAATTGCGCTCGCCGCAGCGTCAGATTTTGAGTTGTGGCAGACGACCGGGCCAGAGCTGGACATCTTGGGACGTCCAGGATGTCTGAAAGGGTGTTGGATCTCTCGTACACGGACACGACTACAGTCATCTCTGGTGATTTCATTCGAGAAGAGTAGAAGATTCTGTGGCCGTTCTGTTGTCCAGTCGATCGGAGAAGATGTCCTGTTGATGTGTGTTTCTCGACAGTAATTGGTGGCAGCAATTTGAGGCCCAGATTGAGGCTGCGGAGATGGATGGAGGGGCTTTGAGAGGCCTGGGGCAGCTTATAGGTGGCTTCGGCGGGCTACAGGCATTCCGTGGGGCCTGACTGGATGACGGGGTGACGCCGGGCATTTGGACATCCGACTCTGCAGCAACCGCGAGTGCCCCAAAAGCTTTTTGCAGGATTGTTCCTGGGCTTCGTGGGCCTATCGTGCCAGCTTGACCACTCTTAGGCCTTCTCTTGCTTAGGAGCTTCTGACGCTGTTCCCCTTCTAGTCGCACTTGTGCAGGTGGTACAAAGCCCACGCCGACAACTCCACTACTCACTTGGCCTTGTTTTCCTGCCCCAGAACTTTTCCAGGGCTGGCCTCGAGCAAGTCTGTGGCTTGTCCTCCTCACAATCCTCAATCGCCCTACACATCGCCAATTGTTCACTTTTTCCGCTACGGACAATCTCCTTTCGTCACTGGCAGCTTCTTTTCCAAGGATCTTCATCTTGACCTTCCTGTTCCCTGCACAACCTCGCAAACCAACATATCCTCAAGCTCACGACTGTCACTCCTTCCTGTCCGTCGTCCTTTTTTTTCCGTCATACCCCCTCTCTACTGCTTGACCCAGAATACCATCCCATAGGGTTTGGATTTGGATTTGGGTTTCGGTTGTCAAGAAAACATCAACAAACCCTCTGTCCTCCTCTTAATCCAATTACTCCACTACTACCAGAACACCACTCCGTTTCAATCCATCCCTGCTCCTTCGCAGTCCTTGCCTACGCGTATTCGTCTCCCGTCATCAGTTTAAATCCATCGCGCTCGACCGCACTCGACCACGCCCAACTCCGAGTTACCAGTTTTAGAAGCTCTCTGTCACCGAGCCTCTGGTCCGCGTCGTTACCAACTGAGCATGCCTCTACGAATATCACCGTTGTAGCTCCTCCCTCCTCCGTCTCGTCGCTACGGCGCAGGCACAGATCGCACAAAACCATGCATCTGCTGTCACGGTTCGGCTCCAAGGCGTCGACCGCTTTACTGCTACTGGCCACACACGCGGTTTCACAGACAGTACCTTCACCTAATCTCGACATCAAGTCCCTCGGGCAGGTCACCCTCGCAGGCGATTTCGACGCAATATCTGTTTACACGTCAATTGGGCAACGAGAAGGATTGAGTGGCAATGGCACACAATCAATATTGTCCCGGCTACCAAACGGGGCGTTTGATATTCTGTCCTCTACCGATGCAAGCATAGAAGCCCTTTGTCCGCTGGTGGTTAATAACACACTCATGGGGATCGTGGTCGGAGGCAATTTCACCAGTGTCGGAGGTGTCGCGGCGCGATCTCTAGCATGGATGAATGCAACCTCTCTGGAAATCCAGGCAATTGGTGGGGTGCAAGGAACGGTATCGGCACTCTATTGTGATCAGGACAATGGAATCCTCTACGTTGGTGGTGCCTTTGACGCGGGTAATTCAACAAATGCAATTGGATGGGCAGCAGGTGGCTGGTCGAGTCTACCCTTCGCCGGTTTCGATGGCCCAGTCAGCTCTATCACCAAAGCCCCCGACGGCCACATCATCTTTGGAGGTTCTTTTACTGGTCTGGGCAATATATCGTCGAGTTCGCTGAACAATCCCGAGATCCAGGTGATCAACCTCTCGACCGCCAATCTCACTGCCCGGGGAAACACGAGTACCGCGGGCTTGGGAGATCCAAAGAACATTGTTTGTCCATCGAATAGCACCGATGCTTCGTCCAACTTTTTACTGGCCGACAACACTGCTGGTAGTTGGCGAGCCGATTTGGCTTTCGGTTTCGAGCCTACTAAGCTCCGACTGTGGCAGACAAGTCAAAGTGGGAAAGGTACAAAGACATGGCGCTTTACGGCGCACCCACTCAATGGCATCCTCAACTTCACCACTACCGACCCTACCACTGGAGATCTGATTTCGTGCTCGGCAACATGCCCACTCGCAGAGTACAACGCCTCACAGCCGTATCAAGACTTTTTCTTCGTTAATCTGGTGGGGATGAACAGCTTCACCATTGACATTTCGGCCTGGTACGGCAGTGGAGGTGGCCTTGGGGGGATTGAACTGTTTCAAAACGATATCTTCTCCTACGCCATTGAGGCCTTTAACGAGCCCACCTGCGAAGCCACCAGTATCCGATCCGAAGCCACCGCTACTGGGCCTTGGTATACGACTCCGTCGAGGGAGAGTGTGTCGGACTATCTCACTGTCGTGGTGGGTCCCACAACAGTTGACAACACGCTGATAGTTTTCGAACCCAATGTGCCGCAGAGCGGAAACTACTCTATCATTGTCTATACCCCTGGCTGTCTGCAGGATAGCTCGTGCTCAGCACGCGCCATTGTTAACGTCACTGGCAGCCTGACGCAGGATGGAAAACAATCTTTCGGCACTACGATTTTTCAAACCAACGACTTTGACAAGTACGACATCGTGTATCAAGGACATGTGGATGCCAGCACCTCATCTTTTCGGCCTGCGGTAACTCTCAGGCCATCCGGACAGCAGGATGCACAATTGGTTGTCGCGTCTCGAGTCAAGTTCGGCTTCACGTCGACGACCGGTGGTCTCAATGGCTTGTTCGACTATGATCCTGACAACCAAACCGTTGACTATGCCACCGCCGACTTCTCCAAGTCTGCCATCAACAACGCCGGCACCACGCTAAAACCCAACGCAAATGTTCTGGCATTGGCAACGCGCGATGACACCATTTACGCGGCGGGTCGATTCTCTGACGACGTCTTCGAGAATATCATGGCTTTCCGCAATAACAATGCGTCCTCTTTGCCTGATGGCGGCCTCAATGACGCGGTGAACGACCTTTACAGCTTGGATGACTTTTTGTATGTGGCAGGCAATTTTACCAACACTGCCCAGGCCAATGTGGATGGATTAAGCAACGTTGCTGCCTATCAGTATTCCAAAAACGCATGGGTGCCACTGGGTGCTGGACTGGACGGGCCGGTGGAAGCGGTTGAACCGATGCAGCTTAACATCTCCCAGAGCGGGGGCCCAGAGACTGTGATCGCTTTCAGCGGCGCTTTCAGCGGCGCTTTCACGCGGATCCTCGCGTCTGGCTCCACAGCCGTGTCTCGGGTGGACGGATTGGCAATCTGGGTTCCATCACAGAAGGGCTGGCTGGCGAACCTCGATGTACCGAAGGAAGCTTTAGTTGGCCGACTGTACGCCGCGACATTTCTACCGAACAACACTTGGCTCGGGGCTGGAACACTAAATTCACTCGGACTAGCTATTAGTGGTGCTGCTGGTCTTCAGTCTGAGTCTGGTGGTCAAGTCGCGCTTTCGCGACTACCCATCAACATCACCCCCAGTGACGTTCAGTCTGCTACCAGAAAACGAGCTGTCCAGGCCACGCAGAATGCAACTGGTGTCAACACAGGGCTCTATTACACCGCTCATGGACAGAATGTGACTGTCCTGGGAGGACACTTTACAGCAACTGCGAGCGGTGGATCCACCATCGAGAATCTCATGTTCATGAACGGGTCCAACAACGACCAAGTAACGGGTCCCCCGACCGGTCTCGATGCCAGTTCCACCGTGCTGGCTCTGGCCCTTTCAGACAACATCCTCTTTGCTGGTGGTACCATTTCCGGACGTGTTGAGAATACAGACATCAATGGTCTGGTTTTGTACGACATGAGCACCGCGGCATACCGAGCAATCCAACCAGCATCATTACAAGGGAACAACGTAACGGTCAACGCGATAGCTCCACAGTCAGGTTCAACAGCCGTGTATGTTGGCGGATCGTTTGACCGGACATCCCAAGAGCTATCTTGTCCCGTTGTTTGCATGTACGACACGGCGACGAGTCAATGGAATACGGTTGGGACTGAATTGGGAGGCACCGTTTCGTCTCTTTTCTGGATGACTAAATCGAATCTTCTGGCAGCAGGTGATCTGAGGGTACAAGGCAATCAGACGTCGCTGGCGACCTACAGCACTGACAGTCAGACGTGGTCTGTGTATCCAGTCGCCGGTATTCCTGGACCGGTAACGGCATTCTGCCCTGCCACCACGGATGCGGATCACATGTGGGTTGCAGGTACAGCGACCAACGGCTCGACCTTTTTGGTCGAGATTGATGGAGACAATGTGAGACCAGTCGTTGATGCCTTCGATGACGGCAC